GAAATCATACTATCAACGCAGATCTCAGTCGGTCCACCATTGGTCATAGCTCTCATATAAGGTCCACTTCCGAAAATCACCTAAACGCACATATTTCTTTGATGAGTAAAGCTATTGTGATAAAAGTCGAGTTAAATATGTTTTGTATACATACAAATCATTCTACCAAATTTTTTACGGATCGGTCCATTATTGGTCATAGCTCCCATATAAGGCCCACTTCCGAAAATCATTTAAAAGCTCATATATCATTGTCAAACAAAGCTATCTTGATAAAATTCGACACAAATATGTTTAGTCTAAATATGAATCACTCTACGAAATTTTTTCCGGATAGGCCAATAAATGGTCATAGCTCCCATATAAAGTCCACTTCCGAAAATCACTTAAACGCATATATTTCAATGAAATATAAAGCTATTGGGATAAAATTCGACACAAATATATTTTGTATACAAACAAATCATTTTAAAATTTTTTTTACGGATCGGTCCATTATTGGTCATAGCTCCCATATAAGGCCCACTTCCGAAAATCACTTAAAAACACATATTTCATTGTCAAATAAAGCTATCGTGATAAAATTCGACATAAATAGATTTTGTCTAAATATGAATTACTCTACTAATTTTTTTCCGAATAGGCCATAATTGGTCATAGCTCCCATATAAGGTCCACTTCCGAAAATCTCTTAAACGCATATATTTCATTGAATTCTAAAGTTATCGGGATAAAATTCGACAAAAATATGTTTTGTGTACATTAAAATCATTCCACCAAATTTTTTACGGATCGGTTCATTATTGGTCATAGGTCCCATATAAGGCCCACTTCCGAAAATCACTTAAAAGCACATATTTCATTGTCAAATAAAGCTATCTTCATAAAATTCGACACAAATATGTTTTGTCTTTATATGAGTCACTCTACGAAATTTTTTCCGGATAGACTCATAATAGGTCATAGCTCCCATATAAGGTCCACTTCCGAAAATCAATTAAACGAATATATTTCATTAAATTCTAAAGCTATAAGGATAAAATTCTACTTGAGTATGTAATGTGTACATATAAATCATTCTACCACTTTTTCCCCGGATCGGTCCATTATTGGTGATAGCTCCCATATAAGTCCCACTTCCGAAAATTACTTAATCGCACATATTTCATTGTTAAATAAAGTTATCTTGATAAAATTCGACACAAATATGTATTGTCTTTATATGAATCACTCTACGAAATTTTTTCCGGATAGGCTCCCATAGAGGGTCCACATACGAAAATCACTTAAACGCATATATTTCTTTGAATAATAAGGCTATCGGGATGAAGTACGACTTGAATATGTTTTGTGAGCATATAAATCATTCTACCAAATTTTTTCCGGATTGACCCACATATTGTAGTAGCCTAATAAGGTCCACTTCAAAAAAATCACTTAAACGCACATATTTCATTATCAAATAAAGGTATCTTGATAAAATTCGACACAAATATGTTTTGTGTAAGGTCATAGCTCCTATACATATAAAGTCCACTTCCGAAAATCACCTAAACGCAAATATTTCATTAATTAATAAATCTATTGTAGTAATCATTATACTAAATCATTATACTAAATTTTTTCTTTATCGGTTGATAATTGGTCACAACTCCCATATAAGTTCCATTTCCGAAAATTACTCAAATGCACTTGATAATCAAAGTTATCGGGATAAAATTCGACATAAATGTTTATTTTGTATATATAAATCATTCTACGGATTTTTTTCTTCCGGATCGGTCCATAGGTTGTCTTAGCTCCCATATAAGGTATACTTCTGAAAATCACTTAATATCACTTAATTCGTAACTAAATGATTATATCCGGATAAAATTCAAAATGAGTATGTTCTGTGTACAGATATATCATTATATTAAAATGTTTTCAAACTGGCCTATTAATATACATTTTTCTCGACATAATTAAAATTAGTTTGACATATGCATAAATGTTAGTACCCTCAATAAGGAAACAAAAATTTCGCCAAGTTATCTAAAAATTAGATAGTTAAATGGGTCTCAATGAAAAGTAGCTTGCTGGTGGTGGGTATTTAAGATTCGGTATAGCCGAATATAGCACTCTAACTTGTTTTTTTCCGAGGTTGTTTTAAATTTTGATTCATAACTTTTCCCGGTGTGAACCGATTTTGCCCGTTTGCAATACCAAACAACTTAGGAAAATGAAGAACATTTTGGGTGAATTTGGTTAAGCTCTATTGCTTCGTTTTATCGTGAGCGTGTTTTACACAGACAGACGGACAGACGGACAGACGGACATAGCTAAATCGACTCAGAATTTGATAAGGACCCAGAATATATATACTTTGTTGGGTCTCAGATGAATATTTCTTGGTGTTACATACGGAATGACAAAGTTATATATACCCTCTATCACCACTGATGGTGGTGGAGGGTATAAAAATGCATGATTGTTAACGACACAAACATTTGGCTGTGGCGTGATGTTCTTTTCATTTGCAGGACCTTGAGCGAAACCAAAAAAGTGTAACAGACAATAAGGGGCCATAAATTAAAGGTAAATCAAAGTAAATAAAATCCTTTGTCAAGAATCAATTCAATATCAATAAAAAGTAATTAAAAAACAAGAAACAAAATAAAAGTATTATTTCGCATATTAAAGAAAAATTATGAATGAAAAGAATAAAATTAACAAGTAAGAGTGTTATATTCGGCTGTGCCGAATCTTGTATACCCACCATCAAATCATTGCCAAAAAGGAATGTTTCCTTATTAATAAACTTTGATATTTAAGAATCGATGCTTTTGTTATTATCAAAACAATTTTCTCATTTATTACATCTATGTATAGGGAAATTTTTGTCGAATTTTGTCGCTGTCCTTGTATTTTTAAGGTAGCAAAAGCATTAAAATTTTTTTCTGAGGGGACGTTTGGTAATTATGGACCGATCCTCGTCAAATTTTCTATAACGATTTTAGCTTAGGCTAGTAATGAGCGTTAATGCCATTTTCCGAAGGGAACCGTATATGGAGGTAGGATAAATTATGGACCGATCGTTATAAAATTTTACAAAGCGATTCTATATAATAAGTTTATGTCGAATTTCATCGCTATAGATGCTTCTTTTAGACAATTATGAACCTTAAAGCCATTTTCTGAAGGGGACCTTATATGGGGGGTAGGGTCAATTATGGACCGATCCTTATAAAATTTTACAATGATATTAAAGTTTCTATCAAATATGTTCGTGTCGAATTTCTATAGATGCTTATTTTAGACCATTCTGAGCGTCAAAGTATTTTGCTGAAGGGGACCTTATATGGGGAGTAGGGTCAATTATGAACCGATCCATATACAATTTTACAAAGCGATTTAGGTTCCTACAAAATATGTTCATCTCGAATTTCATCGCTATAGATGCTTCTTTTGGACAGTTATGAGCGTTAAAGTCATTTTCTGAAGGGGACCTTATATGGGGGGTAGGGTCAATTATGGACCGATCCTTATAAAATTTTACAATGATATAAAGGTTCCTTAAAAATATGTTTATGTCGAATTTCATCGCTATAGATGCTTTTTTTAGTCAGTTATGAGCGTTAATGTCATTTTCTGAGCGGTACCTTATATGGGGGATAGGGTCAATTATGGACCGATTCTTATAAAATTTTACAATGATATTAAGATTCCAAAAAATATGTTTAAGTCGAATTTGATCGCTATAGCTGCTTTTTTAGTCAGTTATGAGCGTTAATGTCGTTTTCTGAGGGGGGCCTTATATGGGGAATAGGGTCAATTATGGACCGATTCTTATAAAATTTTACAATAATATTAAGGTTCCAAAAAAATATGTTTAAGTCGAATTTCATCGCTATAGCTGCTCTTTTTAGGCAGTTATGGGCGTTAATGTCATTTTCTGAGGGGGACCTTATATGGGGGATAGGGTCAATTATGGACCGATCCTTATAAAATTTTACAGTGATATTAAGATTTTTATAAAACATGTTTATGTCGAACTTCATCGCTATAGCTGCTCTTTTTAGTCAGTTATGAGCGTTAATGTCATTTTCTGAGGGGGACCTTATATGGGGGATAGGGTAAATTATAGACCGATCCTTATAAAATTTTACAATGATATTAAGGTTCCTAAAAAATATGTATATGTCGAATTTCATCGCTATGGCTGCTTTTTTTAGTCAGTTATGAGCGTTAAAGTCATTTTCTGAGGGGGTCCTTATATGGGGGATAGGGTCAATTATGGACCGATCCTTATAAAATTTTACAATGATATTAAGATTCCTATAAAATATGGTTACGTCGAATTTCATTGCTATACCTGCTTTTTTTAGTCAGTTATGAGCGTTAATGTCATTTTCTGAGGGGGACCTTATATGGGGGATAGGGTCAATTATGGACCGATCCTTATAAAATTTTACAATGATACTAAGATTCCTAAAAAATATGTTTATGTCGAATTTCATCGCTATAGCTGCTTCTTTTAGTCAGTTATGAGCGTTAATGTCATTTTCTGAGGGGGGTCTTATATGGGGGCTAGGCGAAATCGTGGACCGATATTGCCCATTTTCAATACCAAACAAACTGCATCAATATAAAATATTTGTGAAAATTTCAGCTCGCTAGCTGCTTCCGTTTGGACTCTATCGTGTTTTCAACAGACGGACAGACAGACGGACAGACGGACGGACATGGCTAGATCGTCTTAGAATTTAATGAGGATCCAGAATATATATACTTTTGTGGGTCTTAGATGAATATTTCGATGTGTTACAAACGGAATGACAAAAACAATATACCCCCATCTTTTTTGATGGTGGGTATAAAAAGGGCACATCAGTCATGGATTCTTATCCATTATTATTACTGAAAAATGTCATTGATACATAAACGATATATTTTTGATACAGATAAAAGACAACACAACAAAACGAAAGAAAATGCAAAATAAAATATTGAATATTTACCCAATACTGATATCGAGCTGGATACAGTCATGGTCATTACCCTGACAATGGCAATTGTCATGCCAGCCAAACGTTTCGTTGAACGATGTCGTGAACCCAAAGGATTACGTATGCCCAAATAACGAACCAAACTGATGAAGTACATATGCAGGATGCTCGTTAAACATGCCATAACATTACAGGTCACACAAATACATATGTATATCGCATCATGTAAGATCTAATGGCCAATAACCTGTAAACAACATAAATATAAAGAGGGTTGAAAAAACATGACAAGTGATTTAATGAAAATAATTAATATATAATATAATGAAAATATTAATATGTAGACTAAAATTAATGAATTATATAATACTACTTTAAATATGCTTTAATTCCGAATTTTGGATTATGCAAGTCTTGTAGTAAATGAGCGATATAAAAACGATATAAATGACTTAATTAGCGAAAAGACGTATAAATATTTAGGCTTACTTAATGTCATGAACTGTCAATACTAAAACACTTTAAAATCGGCGTTTATCAGCATCATAATATATTCATTATTATCATCATTATGATTATCAGCATAATGATTTAAAATTTAATTCAAAAACCATTTACATGCGCACATTTATCTTATTTAAGAAAATTTGTGACAATTATTTTAATAACGTTCACACATGACAACTTTATTGAAGTTTAAGTATACTGGGAAGGGAAGAACGCAAACGAATTTCAAACAAATATACATATGTTAATTAATGTTAAAAAAAAAAAAACAGAAAAATAACGAAAATGTTTTTTTGTTTACATGACTCTTGAGTTTAAATAAATACATTTTTCAACATCAAAGTAAATCTTAAACGGAAATTGTTACCAAAAAGTATGCTACATTTAATTAAACCTTAAAATAAAATAAAGTTAAATCAAATAGGGGAAATTGTTGGCTTAAAAGAGATTTTAATTACAGAAATGGAAATGTTTCAAAAATAATACTTCGTTTGCTGTTAAATTTCATTTGTTTTTAATTTAGTTTTATTTTAAATACAAATTAATCTTTGCATATTTTTCATTGTTATGGTTGTTTTTGTTTTCTGCGATATTGTTAATTGTGTTTAAGACTTTAAAAAGTGCTAAATAAATAAAAAAATATTTTAAACTGATTAAGTTCATTTAAAATGTGTTAAACTTTTTATGTACGTGTGTTAAATTTTTCCAAATGATTACGCTCATAAAATAAAGAGTGGGTTAATTAGTATATTTATCTATTAAGCTTATTACAAGAATATATGAAATATATTATATAGTCTAGTCATAGTCTAGTCATAGTCTAGACATAGTCTAGTCATAGTCTAGTCATAGTCTAGTCATAGTCTAGTCATAGTCTAGTCATAGTCTAGTCATAGTCTAGTCATAGTCTAGTCATAGTCTAGTCATAGTCTAGTCATAGTAGTCTAGCCATAGTAGTCTAGTCATAGTAGTCTAGTCATAGTAGTCTAGTCATAGTAGTCTAGTCATAGTCTAGTCATAGTCTAGTCATAGTCTAGTCATAGTCTAGTCATAGTCTAGTCATAGTCTAGTCATAGTCTAGTCATAGTCTAGTCATAGTCTAGTCATAGTCTAGTCATAGTCTAGTCATAGTCTAGTCATAGTCTAGTCATAGTCTAGTCATAGTCTAGTCATAGTCTAGTCATAGTCTAGTCATAGTCTAGTCATAGTCTAGTCATAGTCTAGTCATAGTCTAGTCATAGTCTAGTCATAGTCTAGTCATAGTCTAGTCATAGTCTAGTCATAGTCTAGTCATAGTCTAGTCATAGTCTAGTCATAGTCTAGTCATAGTCTAGTCATAGTCTAGTCATAGTCTAGTCATAGTCTAGTCATAGTCTAGTCATAGTTAGTCATAGTCTAGTCATAGTCTAGTCATAGTCTAGTCATAGTCTAGTCATAGTCTAGTCATAGTCTAGTCATAGTCTAGTCATAGTCTAGTCATAGTCTAGTCATAGTCTAGTCATAGTCTAGTCATAGTTAGTCATAGTCTAGTCATAGTCTAGTCATAGTCTAGTCATAGTCTAGTCATAGTCTAGTCATAGTCTAGTCATAGTCTAGTCATAGTCTAGTCATAGTCTAGTCATAGTCTAGTCATAGTCTAGTCATAGTCTAGTCATAGTCTAGTCATAGTCTAGTCATAGTCTAGTCATAGTCTAGTCATAGTCTAGTCATAGTCTAGTCATAGTCTAGTCATAGTCTAGTCATAGTCTAGTCATAGTCTAGTCATAGTCTAGTCATAGTCTAGTCATAGTCTAGTCATAGTCTAGTCATAGTCTAGTCATAGTAGTCATAGTCTAGTCATAGTCTAGTCATAGTCTAGTCATAGTCTAGTCATAGTCTAGTCATAGTCTAGTCATAGTCTAGTCATAGTCTAGTCATAGTCTAGTCATAGTCTAGTCATAGTCTAGTCATAGTCTAGTCATAGTCTAGTCATAGTCTAGTCATAGTCTAGTCATAGTCTAGTCATAGTCTAGTCATAGTCTAGTCATAGTCTAGTCATAGTCTAGTCATAGTCTAGTCATAGTCTAGTCATAGTCTAGTCATAGTCTAGTCATAGTCTAGTCATAGTCTAGTCATAGTCTAGTCATAGTCTAGTCATAGTCTAGTCATAGTCTAGTCGTAGTCTAGTCATAGTGCGACTATTATCCTTCAGCAAGTTGTCAACAAAAATTAGGTTTCCCTAATATGAAGTATACATGACAACTGCACCAATGAATAACCACAGATTTAGAGTAAATAATTCCGCATATTTCTGTAATATTCTCTAAAATTTTAGCTTTTGGCTTTAGTCTAGAATTGTCATTCAAATAATAATTTTGTGAGTAAATCAAAGTATAAATAAGAACACTGACAAAACTGTTTGTCGCAGTTTGGGGTTAAACAGTCAAGGTAAACAAAAATCTCCTTGGGTGTAATAAGAACTTTTTAAGTTTATTAAGCGTAATACACAATTACATATATGTACATACAATGTGTATATGTATATGTTTGTAAATTCTACAAATATTAAAGTGATCTGAGCGTATATCAAATTATAAATAATTTGATCACTACATAATGAAATCAAATGCCATATTATTAAACAAATCATCACTTTTTATATTCTTGTGAAATTAAAAAACTCCCATCCTATTACTTTTAAATCTGATATTAATAAGGCGTATACTTAATATTTTAATTAATACCTAGATAATTATCACTCATGCACTCATGTAATATTATTTATTATTATTATTTTTTTTTAACAGATAATAATAATGTTAATAAACTTAATGTTTTATTTTTCATTCATATTTCATATACATAAATTTAATTTCATTCTATTTTAAAATATTAAATTTAATTCCCTCATAAATTTTCCTCTTGCCATCAAACATTCACCATAAACAATTACAGCTGCAATAAAAGTGTATTTATTAAAGCAAAAAAAGTTGTTACCCCCAAACTAATATAAATCAGTAAAACAAAACCAACAACACTTAAACGAAAGTAAAAATGGCAGCCAACATTCAAACACTGTTAAGTTGAAGCATCAAATCGTATTTTTATAGAGGGGGAAAGTTTTTAGAAGCCAACAACCTTGAAAGTAGTTTTGTATTTGATTTTAAAGTTAAAACAACAGAAAAATATTAAGAAATAATAACATGTATAATTTTTATAAAGAAAATTTCTACAACACTTTATTATTAATACACATATTTTGCTTCCTACTAAAAAAAAATTCGCGAAAAACACCTGTGTCAAAAAGAAAATATATAGTTAAAATTCCACAAGTGGAAACCAAACTTGTGTTAATTGTGAATTTCCAATCATTTCTATACGAATGAAATTGTTTACAAACATAGGGGAAGGAGAGGAAAAGGCGGGCACAAAAGAAAAAAGAGGAAGGGCACACAAAAGGCAAACGAAGGAAGGAAGGAACGAACGAACGAACGAACGAACGAACGAACGAACGAACGAACGAACGAACGAACGAAACGAAACGAACGAACGAACGAACGAACGAACGAACGAAGAAACGAACGAACGAACGAACGAACGAACGAACAACGAACGAACGAACGAACGAACGAACGAACGAACGAACGAACGAAAACGAACGAACGAAAAACGAACGAAACGAACGAACGAACGAACGAACGAACGAACGAACGAACGAACGAACGAACGAACGAACGAAGAACTAACGAACGAACGAACGAACGGAACAACGAACGACGAACGAAAGAACGAACGAACGAACGAAGAAAGAACAAAACGAACGAACGAACGAACGAACGAACGAACGAAGAACGAACGAACGAAACGAGAACGAACGAACGAACGAACGAACGAACGAACGAACGAACGAACAACTGAACGAACGAACGAACGAACGAACGAACGAACGAACGAACGAACGAACGAACGAACAACGAACGAACGAACGAACGAACGAACGAAAGAACGAACGAACGAACGAACGAAACGAACGAAGAACGAACGAACGAACGAACGAAACGAACGAACGAAAACCTAACTAACTAACTAACTAACTAACTAACCTAACTAACTAACTAACTAACTAACTAACTAACTAACTAACTAACTAACTAACTAACTAACTAACTAACGAACTAACTAACAACTTAAACTCACTAACTAACTAACTAACTAACTAACTAACTAACGAACTAACTACTAACTACTAACTAACTAAGCTAACCTAACTAACTAACTAACTAACTAAACTAACTAACTAACTAACTAACTAACTAAACCCTAACTAACTAAACTAACTAACTAACTCACTAACTAATACTAACTAACTAACTAACTAACTACTAACTAACTAACTACTCTACTAACGAACTAACTAACTAACTAACTACTACTACTAACTAACTAATCTACTAACTAACTAACTAACTACTAACTAACTAACTAACTAACTAACTAACTAACTAACTAACTACTAACTAACTAACTACTAACTAACTAAACTAACTAACTAACTAACTAACTAACTAACTAACTAACTAACTAACTAACTAACTAACTAACTAACTAACTAACTACTAACTAACTAACTAAACTAACTAACTAACTAACTAACTAACTAACTAACTAACTAACTAACAAACTAACTAACCTAACTAACTTTTCGACAACCGACCTTTACGTCCTTTAACTTTTCCGACAATGACCCGCAGGTCTATTTGG